TATTTCATGCTTTCTACGAACTTTCGTACTGCGTGTCGTACTGCGTGACAATGAAACTAGTAGGAATTAACTGATCATCTGAATTTTCGAATTTTCTTTTTTGTTAAATCTTCATTGATAGAAAGCTTTGAAAAAGGGAAGAAAATGTAAATTTCAGCCGAGAAACGTGGTTCAGATACATCAGGTAATGAAATAAAACACCAACTTAAAAAGCAAATAATATGACTTAAGTAAAGTGAATAATGTATACCAAGTCAAAAATCTCATGGTTTAAGAGTTTTTCGAAATTTATATTACTGTTTATTACTGTCATGAAACTTCTTTCAAACGGTTACACATACTTCTACTGATATTGATAACACATGGTTTTAAATGACTGCTCACGCATTTGAAACAAAAAAACTATTGACTGCAAGTATGCCGACGTATCTTTCTCCAACAGATTGATGGACGGTTTTCAAAATGTGACACATTGAAGACCCGATTTCTTTTGGGATGTAAAAAGATTTGTGGGTATGAAGATGTTGGTATAGAAATAGAAGAGTTTTATTAGCTAACATATGAGAGAACCTCTTAGAGAGAGAGAGAGAGAGAGAAGTTAGTCTAAAAATAGCTCCTGGAATCATCTTTTAGTAGTTGGCGGGATTTGCTCTGGAAGGGGAAATGCAACTTAAATCTGCTTTTGACCCCGTGAAACTCGTGCAAGAACTTTAAGCACGCTCCTAAATCTGAGTTTTTTAAGGCAACACATCCTATTAGTTTTGCAGTGTTAAACCAGACATATTTCTGGCGTTTTACTTACCCAGTAGCCTTACGGAATAATATTAGTAACTGAAAAAAGTCAAAGCTTCAATAAAAAGGAAATAGGCTAACCTTATCAAAATGCTTCCAGTTACCTCAATAATTCTCGTTAAAATATAAATTAGAAAAATTTATTAAGAATCCTTACCAATTTCATTAAAAATTATTAACATTTGTAGATAGTTTTAAGTATTCAAAATGAATGACGGAAACTTCCTGCACTGTGTGAAAAATTAATTATCTTATTAAAAATGCTTTAAATTTTTAAAATTTTATCTTTGAATTTATGGATTATAAGATAATTGCATTTGTGGTTTAGAATAAAAAGGAATCGACCGACAGCATATATAAAATATGATGAAAACTTGTTCATAGAATTTCCAAATGCCTTGAAGTAAAAGTGGGAATAAAGAATAAATTAAATGTACGCGCAAGTTAAGTACATACAATGTTATTCCATTTGTTCCAACGATTCTACATTCCCCAAATTTCTATTGGTAACGTGCGCTTAAAGGTACTTAACGAGATCGATGGTGCCGCCAAATGCGAGATTTACACTGTTGTTAGATTTCAAGCCGAAGTTCAAATTAACCGCTCAAAATAATAGCAGTTCAAATCAATTTCTGTAATGTTCATAAAAAAGGAAGAAAAAGATTGCTTGAGTGATAAATGCTACCCGTAAATGGTACCTGAAGATTGAAGGAGGACAAACAAATGTCTATCATATGATGGGAGAAAGAAAGTATTGGGTAATTGATGATTTCTCTTGAATTATGTGTTATGCGACGAAAGGCTTACTAACCAGGCAACAAGCTTCTATAAACATCAAGTAAGTAACTGGCGATGCGTTATGACAATTGTTTTGTTTGGAAAGGTAACTATGCGAGGAAATAACAATTTTATGTGGTTAACGTTTGATGCACTGAAGATTTTTCCTTCCATTTCCTAGCTCTTCGAAAATTAATTAAAATAAAACAGCCTTAATGTATGTTACGATACTTTTCCTTTAAAATGTATTAAATGTCAGGCATAAACTGAAAATTGTTATGTATCTTTGCAATATAAATCTCATCAAAACATGAATTTCTAGCCTAATTTACATGTTTTTAAATTAATGTTTACTTAAATTTCGATATGATTTCGTGTATCGTCAGGTTGTTGCCCAATTTATTAGTAATTCACGCAAAAAATATTTTTAGATTATCATTATGGTATTATGAACTTAAAACGGCTATTATTAACACAACGAATTTGCTGTTCATTGCATCGAAGAGATAATGTTTCATGTCATGTTGAAATTTTAAAGCAGTACTTCTTTCTCTCTCAGTGTCATAGAAAAAGTCTCGAATTAAAGTGATCTATTTGCGATCGAATAAATTTCTAAATTTTCAGAATTTCTAAAATTCTAACAAACTTTAAAAAATTATTGCGCTTTTTAATCTACAAATTTATTAATTTATGAAATGCTTAGTAATTGTATATTAGGACTAATAAAACTATTATTAATTAAATTTATTGTAACACAGAGTTAAAATATTACTGGTTACCGTTTTATTACAGTATTAAGAAAAACTCAGTGGTATACTGCAAAACTCAAAATTGGCAATAGTTCGAATATGCTGAGAGAGCATGAGAAAATAATTTTTTTGAGCATGATAATGATATAAAGATAAATGTTAAATTCCAGCATGTTGTAGATTTGCTATATGTCTAAATACTGCAACAGGTTTTCTAAATCATGTGAGGTGTAAGACTTACTTCTACTTTTTTTCTGCAGAGAATTGTTGACAGTGTTTAATTTCTTTTACGTTTGAAGAGCTAATTCAAAGATTGTGGTAGTAATGGCTAAGAGCCAAAAGTTTCTTCGAAAGAATTACTACTGTTGATGATAAATACTAAACTCTGACACGTGATTCTCCGCAAGTGACACACCGAGAATAATCAAAACAAAGCCTTACACATTTCTATATTACTTCGCTTTGTTAGAAAAAGATTAACAGAGCAAAAATTGTTGAATGAAGAAAACTTGTTACGAATTTTCTCTTTCCTTACTCTGTGCCCACATTGTGTAACTGGAAACACGCCCAGCTAGCAATCGGAAGCCCAGATGTGGAATTATGGCGATGGCATTGCTGATTTTTCACGTTTCCAGCCGCGATAAGTATCTAATCGCCTTACAAACTATTATACATAACGAGCAGACAAAATACTTATTTTTTTTACTATGTCCATGTTTTGAAATAAAAAAAAAATATTTGAGGTATAAAAGAGAAAAATTCAGCGACATAAATATAAATGGGATCAAAATTCAATGGGAAAAGAAAACAGAGATGTTTTAAAATCAATCAATCAGATTTTAAAATCAATCATAAGAGCCGCCTGCTTCAGCTGCATCTCAGATTTGACCAGTAGCACCCAGGGTAAAGGAATCCAAAAGTTCGTACTAATCTCCCCATAATAACGAGCTCTCGAGAGCTCTTCAGAGTGAGCCTCCAAAATCGCAATGTCGATGCAGTCACAAATCTCCACATCTATTTCATATTTATTCGAAACCCAAATCCACTGATGTGACCATTGAAAGTCAATCGCCGCTGACCACCATGCCTGCTGACCGCTGACCAAGTCCGAAGCAGTTAATAATTTAAAACTACTTCCAGTCCACTGTTTACAAAACTTCTAAGTTTATGCAATAAGGCGTACCCTGGTTTCTAAAACAGATTTTAAAATTTACAGAACATCCTTTTCGAGTTTAGATTGGTATGAAGATAAGTTCATTTTCAGATGGGCGAAAATTTATCGTAATTTTTTATGGCAGTTAGGTTATGTTGCATTGCATAATAACGGCAAAGCAAAGCAAGACATTTCTCTACACGTAGAGATCAGTGAGGAAGGATACCTTCATGCAGAACTTCCTTAGAAATCTGGACCAGTATTTATGCTACATATTGAGAAAATTCTAAAAATACCCACGCATATAACTCAATCCATGTCAGGAAATCACGCTAGCTGATGATAATTAGGTAACTGGGTAAGGCAAAGTTATGGCCATTTCTGACCATCTGCGTAGAACGGAATGGCTTATTGGATGCCTTTCGCTTATTGGAAATGGCTTATTGGATGGCTTGTTGGATACTGAGTAAATTTACATTTTATATGAAGGAAAAATGTGAGTTATTACTACTCAATTGTTTTAACCATTTGTCGCGCCAAGCACTTGATTATCATTTCGCGGTACGGAAGATTCTTATTTGTGAGCTGTCGTATTCATTACTTATCTCGTAAAATTAAATGAACTCCTATCAGAATTTAATTTAGTTTATTTAATGGTTAAATATTAATTGATAATAACAGAACGGCAATTACTAACATTAAAGACAACATTTTTAAAAGTCTTACATTTGAGCCGTTTAAGGTACTCAAAAATAAGACTTTTATATGTATGCAAATTGAAAAGCAAATGATCAAAACTGTATTTCATAAGTTTCATTTTTTTAGAGCTATAACTTATTAAAAGTACGAGAAATGTTTCCGAAGTTCCAGGAATTTAGGTATAATTATTTTATTTCGTCAATTTTCGTCAATATTACATTGCAGTGTTTCAACAGAATTCCCAATGAACTGAATACAATTATCCCAACGGAGAACTAATTTTTAAAACCGTCCTGAATGAACTTTTCTCCGCAATTCACGTATTTATGGCATGGTTAAGCTCTCATACTATAAAGGTAAGTAACCCAGTAAAGCCTTTTTCAAATGCGGGATCAGATGTGGGAACAGACATTGAACAATTTCTAATATTTTCACATCTTCTCCCCCTCCCTAAAAATTGCTCTTTACATCTTCCATGTTTGCAAAACTAGTGCTACCAAAAATGCGCCTGTATCAGTCAAACAACCGAATGGGACTAAACAATATTGAACAAGATAGCTACATAAACATATCAAGACTTGCCTCTGGTCATTGACTATAAGTTCTAGGAATTGAATTACAGCTCAATTTTTAGGACTCTGGAAACGTCCTACGTGTAAATACTCCAATTTACTTATTCAAAGTTTGGGTGAAGTCGTCATATTTATTTTATTAAAACAGACTCGAAGTTTAAAAAGAATGCATCTCAAAAATATAATACTATTTTTAAATTCTCAGCTGAGCAAAATTACGCGAAGGATATACACTTTATACATTTTATAGCATCATACCTTAGAATCTATTCCAATAATTTTTCCACATTCGTCGCAAGTATTGGAAAACACTTGTTCATAGCATCTGGTACAGTACGGATGTTCATCCCTCAAGACATACCGTTGGCCGGTAAGCGACTCATCGCACTGCCAGCAGCAGAAATGGCTCGAATGCCAGTCTTTGGACATCGCTTTTGTGTACTCTCCGGAGAAAATGAGCTGAAAATAAAGAGAAAAGAAATATATTAACACAAAATCATGAATTAATTTTTTTGATAGCGTAATCTACAAATTTTAAATCTAAAGGAAAGAATATTTGTTGTGCTGCTTTTCTTGACCACAGCTAATGAGAAATATTATCCAGGCTTCCAAAAGATTGCTGTTTATCTATACATAGTTTATTTATTCTTTTTAATTACACCTTTTGCACTTTTTGAATGCAGCTTTTTCGAAAAGTCTCTAAATGAGTCAACCGTAGTTATGAAAATATCGAACTTCATTTATTTTTATGGAAAAACTTTTGCACACTCTTCTCTCTTCAAAATTACTTTTAAAAACAATGAAAAACTGATATTTATTGTTAGTATAAAACTAACTTAAATGCCTGGCTTTCTTTCCATTAAAATTACGTACCTTGTATGCACATAATATGCCAATCATTTTGTTTACATGTCCTTATATAGTGCACCATAGGTGATGAAATTTTCTCAAAGAAAACAAATTTAAAATGTTGGCATTATAAACTATGAAAGACAGACAGCACTAATTGCAAGTGATGAAAGTATTTATCGAAATGGATGCGTACATAGTTTGAGTTATATAAAATTCATCAGTATATAGCAATAATATTAGAGTTCGAAATAAATTTCAAACAAACCCGTTTATCTATTGATTTTAATTTGAAAAACAAATCTATTTTCCTTTTCTCTTTCCTAAAAACCTAATTGTGACAACTACTTAAAACGTTTGTAAAAATGAAAACTAAATTATATTTTTTTTTCATATAAAATTAGTTAGAAATAGCAGACAATGCATAAAATAATTATTCCCTGCTATGTAATAATCAATTTGATATGAACTATCAGCGCATGAAACTGCGTCATCTATATGCAGTCTGATAATATAAGAGCTCATATACATTTAACTATAAATATGAACATGACTTGAAAGTATAAGAGTGCTAAGCGAGCTTCATTGTCTTAATATCGTGATTTAAATCTTATTTAATTTAATGTAAGGTACTGAGCGTACATAATGACAGGGAAGAATTTTGTCACATAGCAAGTTTTCGCGATTATCATTGCGAATTTCAAGGCCCATTTTGAGATTTCGAGAAAAGTGAACTTCGAGAATTTCGAGAAAGTTTACTGAAGAAATCAGTAAAGCTGTCGCTGGGATTCGAACTCCGGATCTCTCGAATACGCGTCGAGCGTGATTCGAACACCGGATCTCCAGAATACGAGTCGAGCTTACTTCCAGTTGCACCACGAAGGCATGCAGAAAGGAGAGAGAAAATACCTTGTTAAGAAATTAACACTTAAATTGTACACAGTACAGTAACTTGTTCATAAAAATGGAACTCGATACTTTTGTTTTGTAGTAAACTTGCGACTGTAACCACTCCCTTTTGACTTATTTTGTTTTGAATGCATTTAAAATTCATCTACTGATCACTCAATAGCTTTCACAAGCAGATCTTACTTTCAGTTTTGAACGGTTTATCTTCATTTCCTTCGTTAATGTAAAAGGTTTAGCTAAATAAATTTACGTTTTGATTTTCTCTTTCATTTTCAATATAATTCATGTACAGAGTTCGTTGCTTAATAATGCTTTTTTATTAAATATATTTTTAAGGCAGCTTTGAATATCTAGCTTTCTTTCTCACTTCCTACTTGCCTAAGTATTTTAATTTGAGGTTAATAAGTTCGTTATTTTAACCTACATTTTTGAATTTTCCACTCTTCAGCCTTTTTGTGATAGGTATCATAATTGAAAATTTTATTAATTTTCCTTACTCTTGTAATCTCTATTCTTAACTGAAGCAGCAGTTTGTAGAATGCCAAAGACATAACAGGTTTTCTTTAATTTCACAATATAATATTATGATATTACGAATACCTAAATTGAATATATGAAACCTAATTTGAACCTCACTTAAACATAAAAAAGTGTTTAAGATTTTCTATGATATTAAATGAATATATCAGGCCATTATGATTGTTGTGCATTTACTTTTCATTATATAAAAGTGTTTCTGCTTGTTTACTTTGAGGCTCCAAAAATTATGTTTTCACGTAGCATACTTGGCCGATATTTTGTTATTGTTAGATTCTACCCCCAGAAAACAGTCTTTCCCAATTTTCAAAAGTTTCTTTTGATTGCCTATTGAAGGCCAGCGATTCAAAATTATACACTATTGCATAAATTTTATAAGCTTATAGATGTCCAATGAAAAATTTGATACGTAATAACCATACTGATTCTTAAAATTTCTAAACCTTTTCAACAAATAATAATAATTGTAAATTTGAATCAGTCAATTTTGATTTACACTTTTTTAACCAACGTTCACATTTATTGTTTTTAATCTGTTCTACCTATCAAGGCATTTAAAAAAATTTATGAAACATACACTATATTAAAATATGAAATTTACGTATTCGACTAAACAGTTGCAAACTGGTTATCACGTATCCAAGAAAAATTTATCTGTTAAAAGTATAAAGAGAACTTTCCAATAAAAATGTCAAGCTTGGAGCTATGAGTATACATGTAAAATTCCTATATTTACTAATATTTTTTCATTAAAACGGATTTTGTGTGTTTACCGTAATACATCTATCCATTATGAATAGAAATTTTTGAAAATAAAGAATAAAGTATTTTAAGGAATTTCGGCAGATGTTAATAAATAATAATTCTTTTAAATTTGGTTAAATTTTTCTAGCAATAGAATGAAACCTATCTTTCAATATATTTACATTTTGGGACCACGAAGAGGATTATTTCAGAATCCATTTTTTTAGATAGGAAACGTGAAAAAGATGCAGTTTCCTTGCCGGGACTCGAACCTTGGCCTTCTCGCATAAGCTTCGAGCATGCTTCCAATTACACTTTGAAGGCATGCGGAAATGAGGGAGAAAACACCTTACAAAAAATAAGAAAAAAATAAACAAAAAAGTTCTTATTTCTCTAAGCTACGAATATTACTTTTAGTGCAGAGAATTTTTTTTTAATCTTGTGAAGAATCTAAAAAATGTATCAAGTCATCAAGTTACGCACTGAAAAATTAAACATTGCATTATTTGAAATTCATTTTGATTTTAATAATTTTCTTTAGGAGTTGCAAGCTGATAAATCTGAAATTACTTTTAAGGAAATAACAGTTAGATTATTGATATTAAAATAAAGATTTTTCTAGAAGTTTTTGAATACAAATTAAGCGTATTTTAGCGAATTTTAAATAAAATTTCTTAATCAGAAGCTTATGATGCTTGGATTGTTGATACTATGCACGCAGTGAACAGAATTTTCATCACATCGAAAACCTTTTAAATTCACCAAGCTATTACATATTAAATTTCAACGAAAAGAAATACACCTTTTTTAAAATCCCATTATTTACAAAATGTGTTTGAGGACTGAATATAAATTTTTACTAACTTTAATTAGGTTTCAGATTCCATTATTAAAAAAACGTTTGTTGCTCCTTTCAGAGCATACTGAAATAAGGATTAATAAAAACTTATCTGTACGATTGAATCACTTTCGTAGCGTCTAACTACTGCTGTAAAGTAACATTAGAATCTTAATTAACATTAAGCACAGTCCACGATCAGAAATATTTTTCAGGCTGGGGAAGTATTTACTGTGGAGAAAGACAATAAAAAGCATGTCAGGAACAGAATTTTGTTGTTATGCAAAGAGAAGAAAAAGTACATTACCTTTGATTCTTGTCCTCTTGAGCTCAAAAAGGAGCGTCCGATCTTAGAGCTAACCAAGCGAGAAAGTCTAGTGAGAGGACTTTCGATGGAGAAACCGTGGGCAGAAGGTTATTTTGGAGGCAAAGATTAGAGCGTGAGGGAATTTATGGCAAGGCCGTCAGACCCTGAAATGGGTTAATCAAGGACAGAAACAGTTTGAACTAAAAATAATATCCCCTGTATCTTTTTTTCTGCACAATCAGCCCTCACGTCGAATCAAAACGAATGAGTAGTGATGTAATGCTTTAAAGTAGTGGCCTGCAAAACGCATACGGCTGCCGAAGCAATTTTATGCTGCCCGCGAAAATATTTCAATTCTTTATTTGTAGCAAATAGGGTGTTGCAAAGATTTCAAGAGTTTAGTTTTTTGAAGTCTGAGTTTACAACATTTTCATTACCACTAAAAACGAATATGAATAACGCACTAGAAAATCTATAAAGGGAGCTTATTAATTTACAGTGTGATATAAATCTTAGTCAAAGATTTAAAGATACAGATTTCATTAGCTTTTATTCATATTTGTCAAAAAATAAATAAGCCCAGTTATGAATTTTTGTACTAAGAATAATTGCTTTGTTTTAGACTTGTATGTGAACTACTCTTTTTCAGAGTTAAAAATTAAAAGAAAAGAATCCGATTGATCAATGCACATATACAGTCCGTTATGAAAATAATTTCTATTAATTTCTCTTCAGGTCTACAAAATATATCATAAGCGAAACGGCATTCAAGTGTCAAGCTGTAGTAAGAAATTAAGAAGTTTATTTATATAGTACTACAAACATATGTATTTTTAGATATGCGCCGTAGAAAAATTTAATAAATAAGAGAAAGAAACTAGGCTGCCGTTACTTGCTCTCAAGCTTTATCCCGGTCGGAAAGTTTTCATAATTTTTTTAAATAAATTATTTAATGATTAATTAAACATGTTTAATTAATCATTAAGTATCTTACTTTAAATAACATTCTTACAAATTTTCAAAATGCCATTTGAAATAAATGACATTCTGAAAATTTAATATTAGCTGTCAATATAATTGAATTACAAAGTATAAAACCATAAAATATCTAGTAGTAGGTACCAAACTTTGAGACAAATATAAGTTTGAATATTTTTCCTGTGCGTATTGTCGCTTATGCAAGTTTTGAGAAAAGTTTAGTAAGAATTTAGTAAGAAGAAATTAAAATTTATTTAAAATATTTTTCATTTTGTTAATTGAAAATTTTTTAGATTT